TCTTTCTATTTATCTGTTTTTCTGTACTTTCAAACAACTTCAAATATGAGCCAATAATTTGGCATTGCAACTGGAGGTTAAATCAAAAAAAAAAAAAGCAAAAAAAAACACGCTGAGATTACAAACAAATCAATCAGTATAAACAAACGAAAATTCTTTCTACTTTGACTTTCACCTTTTCCAAACAATTCAAAATATGTCATTAAAATTATATTTTACTAATTAACTTAGTAAAAAGTATATCAATCTACGTTGATTAACTTGTAGCAAGGGTTGAATTTAATTAGAACATGGCAAAATCACAAGTTCTTCTTTCAGACTACTCTTAGATCTGTAATAATAATAATTTAAAAATTAATAATTTAAAAAACAAAGCAATCCCACACTCTTATTTCAAGCCCCAGCTTAATTTCGTGAAAACATCATCTAAAAAATTTTTTTAAAGAAAATAAACATTTAGAATTGCTATTTGATACAGATTTTAAAACCAAAAATTGATTCAAATTATAAGTCATTCACTTTTAAAATTAATTAAAATTATAACTCTACCAATTTTAAAAATGAATTCAAATTATAAGTCATTTAATTCTAAAAATCGATTCAAATTATATATATATATATATATATATATATATATATGTGTGTGTGTGTGTGTGTGTGTGTGTGTGTGTGTGTGTGTGTGTGTGTGCGTGTGTGTGTATTAATTATTTCACTCCAAGCAAGGCGATTATGCCACTAAGATGCAAGGGGTTACTAGAAGTTTTAAGAGAATGAGAAACCAAAAACCCAATCCTAAACAGGAAACAAGGTATAAACATCTATTCGCGTCCAACATACGGGCAATTTTAAGAATAAAAGACATTGAGGGAGAAAGATAAAAATTTATTAGCATGAATTACAATAATTATCATCGAATAATTAATAATCATTTCATAAAAATGCATATTCGTGTTTTTTTGTGGAGGAAAATGCTTTTTGCAAAAATAAGGATATGAAACTTCTAAAGAAGCAACTCTTGAAGACTGTTGTTGTTGTTGTTGTTGTTGTTGTTGTTGTGTGTGTGTGTGTGTGTGTGTGTGTGTGTGTGTGTGCATAAAAGAAAATATTTTACAATAATTCCGTCATTTTCACAACATTCCTCACTATATATAATCATTTATTTCTGGTGTTAAAATTTTATTCACTCTCCTTCAAATGTCTCACAATTCATCGCCTGGAGTTCCCTGCCCTTAAACCCTATGGTGTGTCTTAGGTGTTCTCCACCCCAATGTGTGTCTGGGGTCTTCTCGTTCCGCTGTCTATGCCTGAGGTGTTCTTGCATTCCACGTACGCTTGATGTGTTCTCCCTCAGCCATGTGTATCTGAGGTGTTCACGCTACCTAATGTGTGTTTAAGACCAGTGTTTGCTTGAGATGCTCTCATCCATCCGCCTTGCCTGAGTTGTTCTTGTCCCCACCCCAAGGTATGCCTGAAGTGTTGTGTTTCTCGAGTTGCAAAGAAAGTGAAATTGGGTTGGGAATCAACTCTGATTTCACTCGGCAAAACCTTTTCGTGTATGACTTTAACTAAAAGCTAGATTTTAAATTCAATGTTCTTCTATGCTTCTCCACCTCGCTTTGCTCCATTTCTTAACTTTCCTTCCGGTCCCGTCTTCTGCTTGCTCCCTCTTTCTTGCCTCATTTACTGGACCGTGTATCCATTTTTGCCCTAATCTTCTCTCGTCTCAGGGGAATCTGTGGACGCGAGAGAGAGAGGGGGGAGGGAGAGAGATAAAGAGAGGGGAGAGACAGAGAGAGGAATGGTTGGAATGAAGATAAAAAAAAATAACCGTAAAATGGAATGATCGGTAAGTGAATCAGATTGCCAGGTTGTCGAATGAGGGGTGGGATACAAGGGGAGCAGATGAAATGTGGGGAAATGGCTATTTAGCATTTTCATAAGGCTAAAAATGGCGGACTCGTCAGGCGATATTAAGTTGTCGCAAAACACAGCCGCCATTGCGTGACCGGATGGCGTATTTAGCGATCCAGTTCCTGGGCGTGAGAAGGGGGAGCAAGGATTCGGAGGACCCTGAACGTTCCACTAATTTTCCACCCTGTTGAGTAATACTTTCCGTATTGATGTTTTTGCTGGAAAGTTTTTATAGTGATTAGTTTCCCGTGCCATCAACAGTCTCTGTTCAGGCGAGGAACAACGGGCCAAATAAAAGAGGGGGACAAGAAAAAATTAATCACCGCCTTCCATTAACAAGAATAAATCAGTGTTAAGTGGGTGAAAATAATTGGCTAATAGGCAAACGCGATCTAGCGAAGAAAAGCTAATTCACTTGTTTAGGTTGAAGAGAGCTGTGGGTCTCATGACTGTGTTGGCTTTAAGTGACGTCCACCACCTTCTCTTCCCACTACTCATCTTCCAACCCCAACTTATGAAAGTGATCGTCACCAAAAGGATAAAAGAGCCCATTTAATTGATTGGAAGTTGGACTGCATTAATTCCAACACAGACAATTTGAGGTTCCTAAATTTCGAATGATGAGCAGGTCAGGCATTTCTAGAAAGTCTGGCACCAAGCATGCTGGGTTTTGTGTAGGGTGATTCTAGACCCAAACCGTTTTAGAAGATAGACGGTTAATTTGTTTCAAACGAGAATGGCGCTTTTTTGTCTTCGTTTTTCTCTCTTTTCATCTCCTAATTTTAAACTTTCTTTCATTTATTCATACTATCCTTCATCCTTTCTTTTTTTCATTCGTTTTTCTTATTTCTTGCTATCTTTACTTCTTACCTTCTTTTTTCATTATTTATTTCTTTCATTCATTTTTCCCTGCTTTTAAGTTCTTTTTTTTTATTTCTTTCTTTCTTTCTTTCTTTCTTTTTCTTATATTCATTCATTCATTCTTTTTTCTTTTTTATTCCTTATTTCTTTCTTTTTTCTAATTTTTATTCTTCTTTCTTTCTTTTTTGCATTCGTTATATTTTCCTTGTTTCTTTTATTCTTTCATTCATTCCTTAAATTATTAATTAATTCCGTTTTCTTTCTTTCATGTATTTATTTATTCATTCATTCATTTTTCTTCTTTCTTGCTTTCTTTACTTCTTTCCTTCTTTTTTCCTTATTTATTTCTTTCATCCATTTTCTCTGCTTTTAAGTTCTTTCTTTTTATTTTTCTTTCTTTCTTTTCTCATTCGTTCATTCTTTCCTTCTTTCATTCATGCTTCCATTTATTCATTCTTTTTCTTATATTCATTCATTCTTTCTTTCTTTACTTCTTTTATTCCTTATTTCTTTCTTTAGTTTTATCTTGCATTCGTTATTTCTTTCTTTCATTCTGTCATTCATTCGTTCCTTCATTTATCCATTCATTATGTTTTTCTTTCTTTCACTTGTTTATTCATTCTTTCTTTTATTCATTCTTTCCTTCTTGTTTCATTCATTCATTCTGTCATTCATTCATTCTGTCATTCATTCATTCTGTCATTCATTCATTCATTCTTCACGAATTCATTTTCTTCTTTCTTTTTCTCTCAGTTCTTCTTCTCTTCTGTCTTCTCTTCTGTCTTCTCTTTTGTCCTTCACTTTTTCATCATCTTTCCCGGCATTATGCTTCGTCTCTCAATTTTCTTTTTTGTCAGCTCTTCTCTTTCTCTCACTTCCGCTTTCTCTTTGTTTTCTCTCTCTCTCTCTCTCTCTCTCTCTTAATGCCTCTTTCTATCTATTTTAATTCTTCTTTCCATGTTACTCTTCTTTCTCTCACATTTCTTTCGTTTTCTCTCTTAATTCTTATCCCCTCCTCTCGCTTCATTCTTTTTACTGTCTTTCTCTTTCCCTTTCTTAATAGTTTTCTCTATCTGTCTCCTATTTTTTCTTCCCACTTTCTCTCTCTGTTTTTATCTAATGCTTTTTTTCCCTTTCTCTGACATCCCTACTTAATTTTTCATATATTCTTACCATCATTATAGGCCCCAATTGTTTTGTTTAGACTCCTTTTTCTTTCCTCAGTTAGTTTATTTTATTATTATTTTATTTCAATAGATTCTTTAAAAGGCATAAAAACTTCAACGATTTCGATTTTCGATTAAGAAGAGAAAACAAATTAGCTTAAAAGAAGTAGAAGTTATTAATTAAGTAATAAATAATATTGAAGAAGAAGAAGAAGAAGAAGAAGAAGAAGAAGAAGAAGAAGAAGAAGAAGAAGAAGAAGAAGAAGAAGAAACTGTATATCCGTAAAGGGAAAGTAGGTATGAAAAGTAAAATAAATAAATAAATCGCTTCATAAAGAAGAGTGATGTAGTGGATATGAGGTCGAGCGGGCGGGCGAGCGGGCGGGCTGGCGGGCTGGCGGGCTGGCCGGCTGGCGGGCTTGATTTTATATGCCTCGCTAAGATCATAGTGCTCTTCGTCCTCGTCCTCCTCGATCTAGGCACAACTTTCTGCCAGTGATCACAACACGCTGCCATAATAATCAAAGATTCCATATTTAATCTTGCTGAATTGTTAGTCCGTTGTGTCCGGTTGTAAAAATTGGATGGCTTCATGAATCAGAAGTGATGGTCGTGTGTTCGTTTCGTGTTGTTATTGACGGAAAGGAAGACGTTGGCAAGGAAGAAGGCGAAAGAAACGTAGTATTTTATCATCAATGTTGTTGTCGTAGGCGTGGAAGGAAGAAAGCCAGAATGAGAAAGCTGGTGTTATGATCTATATTTATGTGTCGATTCTCGGTGTTGCTGTGATGGCGGTTTAGGGTGAGTGTTCTTTGGGTTGGAAGAATGTGTAAAATAACAGAAAGAAGATATTAATGTTATTCACGAGGAACAGATAAAGGTCGATCAGATGATTACAATTCTGGTTATTTAGATGATTTGATGCTTTTGTTAAAAATGACAAGAGTGTTACGAGGCGTTTCATTATTGAAAGAAACGGGTATTGATATGTATAAAGAAATAATAAATAGATAGATAGAAACAAACTGACGTATATATGAAAAGACTTCTATATTAATATACTTAGATAGATAGATAGATAGATAGATAGATAGATAGATAGATAGATAGATAGATAGATAGATATGAACAGGTTGAGATAGATAGATAGATAGATAGATAGATAGATAGATAGATAGATAGATAGATAGATAGATATGAACAGGTTGAGATAGATAGATATGAACAGGTTGAGATAGATAGATAGATAGAGAGATAGATAGATAGATAGATATGAACAGATTGAATAGATAGAGATAGATAGATAGATAGATAGATAGATAGATAGATAGATAGATAGATATGAACAGGTTGAGATAGATAGATAGATAGATAGATAGATAGATAGATAGATAGATAGATAGATAGATAGGACTGAACAAAATGAAAATAGATAGATAGGTAGATACGTACAAACTGAGACAGATATGAATAGAAAGATATAGATAGATATGAACAGAATGAAACAGATAGATAGATAGATAGATAGATAGATAGATAGATAGATAGATAGATAGATAGATAGATAGATAGATAGAAACAAAATTAGATATGAACAGAATTAGATATATAGATATGAACAGAATTAGATAGATAGATAGATAGATAGATAGATAGATAGATAGATAGATAGATAGATAGATAGATAGATAGATATGAACAGAATGAGATAGAGTGATAGATCGATCGTTTAATGATTGTTAATTTTCCATTTCCATTTGTCTTTAGGTAGCAAAAAAAAAATAAATAAAAATAATACAGCGTTGGAGGAGGATTCTTTTCAAAATTCCCGGAAGAATATCGGATGCGGCGCACCATCTAAAAAGTCCGGAGAACGAACCGATCAAAGTACCGAAAATGAGCGTTCTAGTTTAAATAACCAAATGAATAGCATCTGCTAATATTCATGAATATATTCCAAAATAGATCCCCGGATACACATAGTTTGCAATTGCTTCGATAGGCAACGGGACACATACGCGCATGCGTGCAGTGCATTTCACAATAAGAATAAGATAGAGAGACATGGTGGAGAGAAAGAGAGAGAGAGAGAGAGAGAGAGAAAGAGAGAGAGAGAAAGAGAGAGGGAGGGAGGGAGAAATGTTAATCTATAAATTTGATGTTGTCCTTCCAAAAGGTTAGACATAGCTCGATACTATTCATCTTCCTTCTGGACATATCTCGAGAAAAAGCTTGTTTCTGAAAAATATGCTTTATCTACGATGTAACCCACAGCAAATGATGGCTGAAGCTGGTTTGAGAATATTTTCTACGACGTGTCCAATATTATTTATTTTAAACTTTCACATTTTTATTTCTATATTTATTCATAAAAAAAAAATGCAGTAGATCCCGGAAGCATCAAGACGAAAAACACGGACACCCCCCCACTCTCACAAATCGCACATGGGAAACATTTTTATCTAAAGTGCTTACTTCAAAACACACAAAAGCGTATGGTTGGGGAAAAAGAATTTCAGTTGAAAATATATTTGTAATGTCGCAAGAAAGAAAAGAAAAAAAAAACACATTTCGTCTGGAGTAAACTGTAAATAAAATTTATTCACTCTGCTTTGATAGGCCTACCTAAGCATATAGAGAGAAAAACGTTTCGACAATAAAATGCGTTTATGGGCCATCTTCGGATTATGTTAGGGCGTCATGAAGGAACAAAAATAGATTATATGGATGGGGACGTGCGGTAGAAAGGTATGCCAAATCACGAGCAACTTGGTAGATTTATTTATAGCTAAGGAAATTTGGCAGTGAAAAACAAAATAATATTTTTAAATATAAGAAAAAGAAAGCAAAATGAAATAAAGGAAAAAAAAGGAAAAATACGAATGAAAAATACGTATACGCAAAGAAGAAAGGAAGGAAGGAAGGCTAATATAGCAATAAAGAAAGAAGGAAAGAAAGTGAAATAATCAAATGTAGAAAGAAACAAACATTTAAAGAAAGAGAGTTAAACTAGAAAGAAAGAAAACTCGAACGAAGACTAAAACAGAAAAAAGAAAGAAAAGAATACAAAAAAAGCAAGAGAAAATAAAATAGAAAGAAAGAAATAAAGAAAGAGAGAAAATAAAAGAAAGAAAGAAAGAAAGAGAAAAAAGAAAAAAGGGAGATAAAATAAGATAGAATCACTAAAAAGAAACACTAAACTAGAAAGAAAGAAAGAAAGAAAGAAAGAAAAGAAAAGAAAAGAAAAGAAAAGAAAAAGAAAACGAGAAACTAATATAGAAAGAAAGAAAAATGGCAAGAAAGAAAACTGAAATAGAAAGAAAAAAAACGTTAAATAGAAAGAAAAAAATAAAGAAAGAGAAATTAAAGAAAGAAAAGAAAAAACATAAAATAAAATAGAAACACTAAAAAGAAATACTAAAATAGAAAGAAAGAATAAGAAAAATGAAAAGAAAAGAAAAGAAAAAAGAAGAGAAACTAAAATAGAAAGAAAGAAAGAAAGAAAGAAAGAAAGAAAGAAAGAAAGAAAGAAAGAAAGAAAGAAGAGAAACTAAAATAAAAAGAAAGAAAACTGGCAAGAAAGAAAACTAAAATAGAAAGAAAGAAAGAAAGAAAGAAAGAAAGAAAGAAAGAAGTGACGGGACTAACCCTGGACTCTATTCAGCTCATTTATCTCGTGTTATTTAAATTTATATCTGATCTCTGGCACAAAAAGTGGTAAAGTATTGCCATTGGTAAACAAAATATGACAAAACTGACCAAAATTGCCTTCCAATATACAGACTCTGTTCGAGCAGTACGCATAAATAATTCATTGGGGGGAAGCGGGAATAAAAATGCAGCTGTGATGTTATTAATCATTCAATGGGGAAAAAATCTATCGATTGGTTCGCGTCTTGTTGGGTTGGGTTGAAGCTCGGAGCCAGCCGGAACAGATTCGGAGACGCCGCCCTGATCGGCGCACGGATGGGCAGGATTAAGCGTGAGAAATCATGGCGCTTGGCCTGTCGTTGCTTTAACGTAAAACAAAAAAAATTGTCCCTTCGTAGCTCAAGATTTTGTGCCTCTGATTCATATGAACAGGCAAGAATAGGAGACAAATAGCTGAATGAATTAACGTAAAAGAATCTGCACTTGTGGCCAGTCTTGTTTGCGTGTGCGCGCACGCGCATGCGCTAACACCGTGATTCTAGGGAAAAATTGGTGACAAGTGCTAAGCTACCGAAAAGAATTACTTGCCTTTGCTGTTTACTAATGAGGTTTATGACGGGTTCTGGATTATCTTTAGCTTCATTATCGACAAAATAAGTTATTCTCTGTTGGGATAGACACACACGCATGCGCATACGCACGCGCACAAACTCATAAAATAATGGGTATTCAGAGAAGAAAACGCTTTTCGCGCTGATGTTTTTGGAGACTGATAAACGAAATTGGAAATTCAAGATTCATTATTCCTTAAAGACTAAAGAACTGAAGACCTGAAGACTTCAATTCTAGACGTAGATGACCTTTCTTTCGCCCAGAATGGGGTGATACAATCTCCTTGAGAAACATTAAAACATTTTGGGATCCGTCTACCCACGTTTTAGTTGCTATTCGAGTGTCTGAATTCTAAACATTTAACAACAACACATCTTTTAAATGAAACATAAAAAAGGTTATTTTCTGACGGAAAAGTAGAAGCAGAACGTTTGTTGAAATAACATTTATAAATTCGTTTTCGAAATATACAATAACAATAAAATGTTCAATTTTTCTCGCAGTGTTTTATAAAGTAATTAAGTGTTCTTAGCTTGGTGTAAAATGTGTGGACATACTTACTTTATGACAGCCAGTCTAATGTGATTGTGAGTTCGTAGACAAATGCTTAGTCGGCTGGTTAATCCATTGTATTGTGAGCGTGGACAACACCTTAGTCGGCAGATGCTGGCTTTCGTCTCTTCCATTATGTGCGTGTCTATGGGTGCGTATGTGTGTACGCACGTATAGATCAAACTGGCCGACAAAATTGTTTTGAACTCTGAGAAGCAGTAAGCTTTATAAGGGGATTTAACATCTCATTTGACATAGAGGCATGAACTTTTTGAATACAAGGTTTTCATTAGTTAGAAAATGATTTCACACTGACTCGCGAAATCTTTTTCTCGAATTTGCGGGAATGGTGAAAGGTGTTATTGTTGTTATTTTCTAAATGGTTAAAAAAAAATAACACGCCGTAGGTCTACAACTACGTCCGCCAAGTGTTTTGGCGGTATTTGCCCTTCTAATGATTGTTTATCAGACAAACCTTCTGATGGAATTTTATTGGTTGAAAAATATAAATAGGGTTTAATTCCTATAAACATCAAACTCTAATTCCGCTGACACATTATTTTAGTATTTTTTATATTCACTGATTTTGAGTTATTTCGCTTCAAGCAAGTGATTTTAAATCGTATTCACGTCATTATTTTTCGAGAAAAGATCTGGATCAGTCGCAATATTTAGCATATTTTTAAAATTATTTCACACCCAAGCAAGGCAATAAAGCCACGAGGACGCAAGAGATTACTGAGTGTCAAAGAATATGAGAAAGAAACTATTAAGGAGTGAGGACAATAAAAGAACAAGAATTAATAAGACAGTACACAAAGATCGACATTGCAATTACATTTTTGAATATCAAAGTTGACTAGAAAGCAAGAAGCTAGAAGAGAGTTCCACAAGCGAGAAGTGACATAGAAGAAACTGTTAGCATAGAACTTACGGTTACATCTATTCATTTTAACTGTGAAATGATAAGATCTTACCGCCAATCTAGTAATGCGTTTAAAGTCATAAAGATTAGGTACCAAAGAGGAAAGCGCATCAGAACAATTACCATGAAAATATTTATCCGTCCTGGTTATGACGATAAACTACATCTGCATCCTGGGTAAGACGATAAACTACGTCCGCGTCCTGGGTAAGACGATAAACTACGTCCGACAGCAAGGCCTCTAATCAGGAGGTTTTGAGGAGCGTGGAACCACCTCTTAATTGCTGTTGTTTCCAGGTCCACCCTGACCCGGGGTGGTAGCACCTGTTAGAGTCCCAGCTATGGGCAAATAGTTAACCCCTAATCTGGGGTCAAAACACTATGAAAGTGTAAAAATAGGTTTCATTACCAGAAATAATTTGTAAAAAATTATTACCAGCAATACATTTTTGGAAAAAAAATATTACCTTTGCTTTTTTTTATTTTTTGTTATATATTTGTTTTTTGTTGTTTTTTTTTTTTTAATATTTCCAGCAATAAAAATTTTGTCAGCATTAAATAACCCATTGAGTTTGATATGCCGTAAACCAAACCAAACCAAACCAAACCAAACCGAAAATATTTATAGAAAAGGAACATGGAGGCTTCGTTATGGCGGTAGGAAAGTGACTAAAGATACCAAGTCCGGACTAATAATATTGCTGATTCTTGTCAAGAATCCCTAAATATATAACAGGAACACCAAACCAAATGTAGCAGTAATGTTCAATGCACGGATTAATGGTAGATTTATAAATATGTAAGATAGATTCTGAAAACTTTACGGTGGCCTCACTTCTTCCAGTGGTTATGGGCATATCACGTTGAAATACCAATTTCTGTATGATCCCCTAAGTTAAGCAAGTAACCACTTAAAAATACAAATACCAGGCACTGTAAGCTTGAAAGTGCGGGTGGTATAAAAGGCTTACGACCACATGGGTTACCGCTTGGAAATGCAAGGTTCTGTAATCATGGATGTGCGGGTGGTGTAATGGATAATGACTCGGAATTGTTAATCAGTGAGCCGATTTCCAGTTCTCGCTAGGTTCATTATATTCACTTGCACACAAATACCCTTGGGGAAGGTATGAATCTACCTCTTCCCCTTGGCATGGGTTAATTAGTAAGACTTGTATGACTAAACCATTATTCTCTCAAAAGAAAAAGTTCTTATAATCTAAGAATCTTTTCTGGTTTTAAATAACTGGCAAATGGTTGATTAGTCGTAGAAAATGAATCAATCATAAAGTAATCAAACCTTTCTCCAATAAATAAATGGTTTCTACTAAAAACATTCCGTTATTGTGTAGACATTGGAGATGCCGTTTGGTTACCCATTTCTACTCGTAACGATTTGCCAAGTTCTTCTAGAATAAATTTTCCAGCCGAAAGTGACACCTAATAACCAGTGCACAGGAGGCACGGTGGAGTAATGGTTAGCGGCTCGGTATTGAGGAATCGGAGAGCCGAGTTCGAATTCCAGTCGAATCCATTGCATTCACTTACGTTCTAATACCCTTGAGAAATTTATAAATTCTCCCCCCAGTTATGGGTAAATGGCAGAACAGACAAAGTTCTATAGCCTTGGATAGCAACTGGTCTACCGCAGAAAGAAATGGCAACCTACTGCGGGGAAAAATCTGCCTCGTCAGTCATGTATCGAGAGATACATGATCGCTTAAGCGTGCCTCACGCATGGTACATAACTGACTGACAATAAACGCATTTTATATATATAAATATTTCTTAGCGTGCCGTTACCATTTTGGTCACAGGAGACTCGTATAAAGCAAAGCTCAATTATTAATTTGAGGAATGCACTCCTCTCGATACAACTTCTTCGGATCTATGTCTGCTAGATTTTTAAGCCGGAAACATTAGCAATTTTCCAAGCGTATCTCGGATGTGGCACAAGGCCGAAAGTATGGGTCAGCCAGTGAGGATCGAACTCACTACTCAGTCGTAATTGTTTTAGCGAGACAAGCTGGCTAACCATTACACCACCTCGAGATGCCCTCATGCGGGAAACATTAACACAGTAACTTTTCTCTCACTGGCTGATTTGTTTTGTTTTTTCTTTTTTTTTTTTACGGCTTATCAACCTTTTTAAGGTTGGTTATTTAAAGTCGAAACATATTTTTAGATTGTAAAAAGATTTTGCGATAATAACGATTTTCTTATCCATGTCCTACTATTTAACCCATAGCGGGGAGAAGAAGAGGAGGATTCATACCATTTCCACAGGATATTTACACGTAAGTGAATATAACAAACCTGACTGGCTTCGATTTCTACTTCCGAGTCCTACAGCACCAGGTATTCCAGAGTAGTCACCCATCTAGGTAATTGGACGTCCCCCTAAAGAAAAAAATATTGACTCTCAACAGGAATCGAACCTGTATCCCTTACTCCTGTAGCCGAAGCGTGTTGTTAATATTTAACAGCTCCGCCACAGGGAATGTATGTGGCACAAGGCCGAGTTTACCGTGGGTTCTCCAAGCCTGTAGGTTCGGCCAAAAATATTCCTTTAGAACCCGTAAAAACGGGTTCAGGTTCTGTCTACCACCCCGGACGAAACTTTGCCGTTCGGCAAAGCCTCGTCCTTGTTCCTCTCTGATCAAGGCGGAGAGTTCGACATTAACGAACAACCTATTATTCGACTGTTCCTGTACCGAAGCGTGCTGTTATCAATTTGGATGCAGGAGACCATCATGATGAAGCAAAGCGGCCCCCCTTTGGCTATAGGAGTGAAGAAAACTGTGAAAACGATACTAAAGAGAAAGAAGAATAAAGAGAACAGGGTTCGAGGAGACGGAAGATGACGATTGAGGTTGCGATCAAATTTTGGAAGGTCGCATTTGACAGAAAAATGGAAAATCAAAAAAAGAGTTCTACGGGTAAGAAGTGCGAGAGAAGAAACTATTTAAATAGAACTTACGGTTTCAGCAATATGAATTTCTCAAAGAAAGCAGATAAAAGCATGCTGGGGAGAAAATTGATAGCTCGATTTCACAAAGGTGCCATTAATTAATTAACACCGTTTGACGGTGAACATGTTTGTGTCGGCGAGGCATTTCGTTACTAAAACTGCGGTCTTTTTTTTTTCACGTTCAATCCTTGTTGGGTAAGAAATTAAAAAAAAATCCTGCATTTAAAAGCAATCAATGAAAGGATGCGATTAAACTTGAGACGACCAAAGACTTAACAAAAAACTCGAAAAAAGAAAGTAACAAGGAAAAGAATCGAATAATAATTTTTTTTTCTTTCAAGATCAAATAAAATTCTTTATGAGAGAAAACTTTGCTAATTGCCTTAACGAACTTTTTGGTTCTCTCCTTCAGCTCGGAATAAATACAACGACTTTTTCTTCTCTTTTAATTACTTTCTGTT